TTATAGCGGGCTTAGAAAACATGGGTTTTTCTCCAGGCCCAATCCAAATCAAGAATCTGCAGAAAAACAAGTTTGTCAAGAATGGGATTCGAACCCATGCCCTTTCGGACCAGTACCTGAAACTGGCGCCTTAGACCAACTCGGCCATCTTGACATGTGGAATGCTTAGTTCAAATTCAAGAATAACAACACAAACAAAAATTAATACCATGCATAAAAACTTTTAGGACCTATTCCAGCCACATTATTTTCAAAAAAATATATTATTCAACAGTGATTTGATATCATTTCAACAACACATTCTTTTATAAAATAATATTACACACAAATTTAAAACTTTTCCTTATTTTTAACTATACATTTTCCATTGATTTGATATGAATAATGCATTTTTTTCTAGAATGTGGTTCAAAGATGGGCTTAACAAAATCAAGAAGAGAGAAAACTGCACTTTTTGTCGCCAATCGTTACAAATTTATTGCTACACTCAACCTTTTCTGGTTCAAGAAACCTTTAACTAAGCCCTCGTTTATCGTCATTTACTTTATATTTTTTCCTATTATTTTTTTACGGTACTCATTTTTAACCATACATCTTCATTAAAATAATATTACACGTAAATCAAAATTTTTCTTCTATTTTAACCACACATTCTCTATCAAATTACTATTCCATAATACGTTTCTTCAAATTAATGGGAACAGGGCCTTAATATTAAACGACATCTTTCATCCATTTTCGTCATTAAAAATTGTGGCTTCCATTAAATTCTATTTCATTTCTCTTTCCAATTTTCAACAACACAATCTTCCATAAAATAATTTTACACATAAATCGAAAATTTTTCTTTTGCTTTTCAACCACTCAAGGGGTGTTTTGTTTGCCGTTTTTGTTCTTAGTTTTCAAAAATGCTCAAAACGTGTTTGATCACTTGTTTCTGAAAAAAAAAGAATAAATTTATAACTGAAAACGCAAACGATTTTTTTTTCTATTTCAAGTATTTTCAGTTAAAAAACTCAAAACGTAGAAAAACCTCAAAACACGCCGTTTTCTTTTCTTTTTCTTTTCTTTTTTTACCATTTTTAAAATAGTAAATTCATCAAGTTTAAAATTTTAAAATATATATTATGTGGTAATATATTAGCATAAAATTATTATGTTTTACTAAATAATCAAATTAAATGAATAAATGTCATAAAATTTTTTCTAAAAATTTATTATTTATTATTTTATTTTGTTAGCAAGAAAAATAGTAAATTCATCAAGTTTAAAATATATATTATCTGGTAATATATTAGCATAAAATTATTCCATTTTACTAAATAATCAAATTAATTGAATAAATGTCATAAAACAGTTTCTAAAGATTTATTATTTATTATTTTATTTTTGTAGCAAGAAAAAATAGTAAATTCACCAAGTTTAAAATATATATTATCTAGTAATATATTAGCATAAAATTATTTATATTTTACTAAATAATCAAATTAATTGAATAAATGACATAAAACAATTTCTAAAATTTTTAAACCAAACGCATTTTCTAGTTTCTATTTTAAGAAACCGTTTTTCAAAATGACAAACAAAACATGTTTTCTATAATTCGAAAATAGTCCCTCAAAACAGAAAACTAAAAATGAATTCAAGACAGAAAACGGAAAATGAAAACGCTCCCTCATTTTTCAAAAAGCATCATTCCACCCATTTTCATTTCCAAAAATGGGTGGCCAAACGGAGGCTTACCACTTACCATCATCTTTATACCCTTGTGTTGAACCTCATTTTTTTGGGAAAGATATATTTTGAAATAATAATTTTTTTTTTTTGGAAAATGTGATTATAAATAGAGAAAACTTTTGGGTTTATATGTAATATTATTTAGGGAATAATTTGTTTTTGAAAATGAGTTTTGGAAAAAAAGAAAAAGAAAAAAAGGAACCTCAAACAAAGGTTAAGTAAACAAAAATTGAAGAAAACAAAAAAAAGGAAAAAAAAAGTTGTGACAAAAGTCTCAAATCATTGCAAAATGAAAAAAAGAAAAACAAATTAAAAGTGAAGGAGAAAACGCATTCTTCCTCGAGAACACTAACCCAATCACCTACCCTCTCAATGGCGAATTCAGGTGAGCACCAACAGTCACTAGATGGCTGCTTGAGCGACCAGAGCGGCATCCTATATAAGGAAAAAATATTTTTCAATTAAGTCAGCACAAGCGACCACAAGAATTTACCGAGTGCTAGTTTCATTCCTGCACCTCCTTCCACCCCACGCAACTCCCATCTAAAACCACCACAACTTCACAAGTTATCAACAAGTCGTTGCGGCAAGCACCCCCACCCAACCATCACTACAACCTCCAAATATTTGTCAATTCTCCCATACGCAAAACAAAGCAAATTTTTTTTATTAACGAGATATTACTAACGGTGAATATCACCGTGATTATCAACTCACTTCTGTATGTGATTATCGATGACAATGTTGATTGCAATCATCAATGGTAAGGCATTGGTATGATGAACAAAATTATATATATATATATAATACTATCAACGGATAAATAACAATTATTTTATTTTGTAGCCGGTATCTAGTTTGAACCGACTCTGCATGCGACCTTACAGTTTACATTGGTTAGGTTACTGGCTCAATAGTGGAACATGCACTGGCTAATTAATTGGCATTTTTACTCGCAGAGTCCTGCTATGAGTTGGACATGTCACTGGAAAATGATAAATGAAATGACGTACCATTTTCATTTCAATCTGTCAGATGTTTTGATATAATTTTTGACATAATGACACATCGCTTTTTATCATTGAACAATTTAAAATGCAGTCAATTTTTTCATTCAATCATTTACTATCGCATACATATCTGTCAATCTTTCTGTCATTTTCCTTCTGATGAAGTAGATTTATCCTTTTTCAATTTTTTTTTGGCCAACTTAATGATCACATGCTAGCTGGCTATGTACCAATCCATTAAAAGATGGCATGGGGTAGTATGCCATGCAATTAATGTCAACTTTAATACATAAAGGATCTGTTTGAGTCACATTATTTTAAAAAAAATACATTTTTAAATAGTGATTTGATATCATTTCAATCATATATTTTTCAATAAAATAATATTACACGCAGATCAATTTTTATTTTTATTTTAACCACACATTTCCCATCAATACACTATTCAAGAATGCATTATTACCAAAATAATGTGATTCAAACACCCCCTAATACTTTTCTTGTGAATTTTATTATTGAAAAGAAAANTTCAAGAATGCATTATTACCAAAATAATGTGATTCAAACACCCCCTAATACTTTTCTTGTGAATTTTATTATTGAAAAGAAAAGTTACATTTTCCATTCGACATGTAAAATAGCTAAAAACCGAAGGATCAATTTCGCGTGCTTTAATAACTTGTACTTATTTTGTATATATTTTTATTACTAATTGAGGGCGGGGACCTTACTAGCTATTCCTAGTGTGCTTCTAACCTATGAATTTGTAATCATGCTACAAATATTGTCCCTTCGAGGGGCAACAACTCTATTAACCCCCTAACCCAACACACACGTGAATGAAGTTATGGTGCTTTACTTATTATAACACGTTTTGTACAAGAATTCCAATTTTTTGGCATTTTTCTCCCACTCTTTGGCTTTTGAAGTCGTCTTGAATGAAACCCACTCAAAAAAAGATTAACGATAATCTACTACATTTCGTCGATGTTACTATCTGTAAGAGAGTACGATACAACATATCCTTAAATAAAGTGTATTTTTAACAAAATTTTTGAAAATTCAAAAATTATTTCTAAAATTAAGAAACTGCTTTCGAACATGGTTAGATAATATTATTAGAAACTCTTCTACTATAAAAGTAGAAATTTTGTCAATATGAGCCCGAAGATTATCATAGACTAACAAGATAGAATTGGGCCACTAACCTGATGGTCCAGTGGGCCGAAAGTAAAACTCGTTCGTCAAGTCTCTGCACAGCAATAAACTGTAAATCTGGTTTCTCCATCCATCCATTTTGCTCACTTCTCTGATCAATTCTTGAAACCTTGCTCGGATCTCTCCAAAACCCAGAACCATAAACGTTCATCTGATCCCTCTCTTCTCTTCAACAAATTCTTAAAAAGTAAAATTTATTATTTATTTCTTTGATGTGCATTTGGAATGGTTCTGATTTGATCACGACCTGTAGGGGAGACAAATTAAGGCAAAAGGTTGTATTCCCTAATCAAAGAAGTGGGTATGTGTCGAAAAACTTTTTGTTACAATTTTCTTATTTTAGTTTTTAACGCGCCATTTTCTTGATGTAAAGGGTCCAAACAAAATTCCGTTTAAGATATTTTTTATGTAAAGATTCAATTTTTAATTTCCAAGTCCCTTTGATTGAATTTAGGGTCTTGTGTTTGCTTTGTTAATTGGTGAGCGTTAAAAGCTATAATAATCTTTTGCCTAGGCTTTTCAGTTATTAGGCTTATGGATTTCGAATAAAGAGACAATGTTAATGTACTAGAACAGTATTAGATGTACTAACGGCCACTTAACATTCTTCAGAAGATGGCTTTCTACTTTCTAGATGAGAGCTGTTCAAACATGAGTTTACTTGTTTTCATTGAAGCAGATTATGTGAAAGAACATATGTTAGTAAATGATATCACACTATTGATGTGGTATTCACATTTAAGTTATTCACTTATAGTGAAACATGCATCACTTTGAGTGCTCTTCCCTTATTTCGACCATGAAAATTGTCGTTAAAATGTTCTATGGTCGTGATAATCTGTGATGTTGTGTACTGTCTTGGTCTGATTTGAGCAGTTTTCTATCTGAAAATTGTCATGATTGTGTTTCTTGTTATTCCTTTTGTGTGATTGACTTTGATGCAAGATTTGTTGCGAGATCTCTGGTCAATTAGCTTTTGGGAGATTTGATAAATGTTGACCAGAAACTATTCTGTCTGGAGCATGTGGGCTCTATCTATGATTCTATATTTGCATTTCCATACTGTTGTTAAACCACCCCATTACGTTAAAGACATCTTTTTTCACCCTGACATTATAAGCCTGAGAAATGCGGACCTTTCTCTTTATTGAAGTTTCATTTCCTTGAACATTAATGGGGATTATTTATAAGATTGGAGAGAAGGGTCTTTACAGTCCAGGAGGATGGAACATTTGCTAGTTGTAGATTAAGAACAATATGTGACGGATGCCAGTCAACGATAGAGTAGCACTTGTTAAAACTTTGCATAGTTAATTCCATGAAGAGTTTTTGTGCTATTCTTTGTTCAAACGTATGTAATGAATCGGTGCACCAAGGAGAATGTCTCTATTCCAAGTGATTGACAGTGCTTTATTTTAGGCCCTCTGGATACAATATTGTTTGTATTCTGGTGATGGAAACTTTGGTTCATGTGACAACTGATATTATTCAAGAGACATAAATAGTATAGTATCTAATGGCTTCATTTACTTCATAATAAAAGTATGGTGCTTCTGACTCTTTGTAGGTGTGTGTGTATCTTCACCAAATTTACTTTACATAGTGACTGTTGTGACTCTGTGTTTTTAAGTGGATCTATTTCTGAGCTTATATTGCTATAAT